TCTTTTTCTTTTAAGACCTGTATATCCCCAACTGTATACCCCCATGAAGGTTATCCTGATAGATGGTTTTAATATAAAACGTCAAAAGCCCAATTATATATATATGATATATCTTCAATCTATTTTTCTATGACATCCATAATATGATGGTTGGTGTTAGATGGATATCAGAATGCATCAGAATTCTATATCCGCAATTCTATGCACAAGTCCCCAATTATCCGCCATTATATCGTAAAAAATCCGGAATTATATATCCCCATGATGCTTATCCTAGTACATGGTTGTAATAAATCTCCCAATTTATATCCCAGATATTTCTTCGAAGGCTGGCGCCTGGGCATGCTTTGATGAGTTCAATCGCATTCAGGTGGAGGTGTTGAGCGTTTCTTGGCGACAAAACGTGGATTGTTTTCTTGGATTTGATAGGCAAAATTGTAATGTAACTTGGATGGGTCTTTTTGGGACAGGATTTGGGATGAATCTAAACTGGTTGGTGGTTTGGAACATGGCTTTTATTTTTCCATATATTGGGAATAATCCCAACTGACTTTCATATTTTTCAGAGGGGTGGCTCAACCACCAACCAGTAAAAAATTGGAGTGCCGCTTATTAGGATCAGATCTGGGGTTCGGGTCTCAAATTTGGAGCCGTACTCAACTCTTTGCCACTGTTTTCCATGACCGACAATGATGATCCGAAACAGACTTGAATACGTTTGAAACCGCCAGTGATATGTCAAGTCTACACCCCATCCCCAAGTCATTTTGTTTCCAAATCTGAGAACAACCATTTTTTCAAGTTGTGAGGTCATTGCCCAGCAGATGTTGACGGTCACCCATGCCATCCGTGCAAGAAAGGAGCTGGAAATGACCAGCCGGGTGGACCGGGTCTTTAGGGAAATGACAAGCTTGAACGAGGATGATTTTGTGGTGTGGATTCTGTTGGACTGGTTGGACAGGGAAAACAATCATGAAAATTACCCTCTGGTAATTTAACATAGCTATTGAAAATGGCCATTGATAGTGGATTTACCCATTGAAAATGGTGATTTTCCATAGCTATGTTAGTTTACCAGAGGGTATGGGTTTCTATGTGGACCCCAGAGGCTCGGCACTGGATTCACACATCACGTGAGCACTATCTCCATAGCGGTGAGCACAGCTATGGAAAATCACCGAAGCATGGGCCATGGCTTAACCATAACCCATAGGATCCATGTATGCTATATATAATGGTAACATGGATCCCATCAATATACCCCAGTCATGTTAATATATATATATATATCTATATCTATATCTATCTATATATATATATATATATCATACATGGATCCTATGGGTAACTACGTAAGAAATTACCCGACTTCAGCCGACTTCAGGAGACGTTCGAGTTCGTTGGGCGCGAGATTCCATTGAATCCACGCTTCGGAGTGAGATATACCCAGGGGGTGGTACGATGCCAGGTATGCGGTTGAACAATTGGGGGATGAGTCCCCAACATGTCAACATTCCGTGAGGATCGCAGGATTTTCCCACCAAAACATCCAAACCAGTTGGTATGTCCGCATTTTGAGAAGTTTTATCCCATGTTTGGCCATAGCCTCTGGTAAACAAACATAGCTATTGAAAATGGTGATTTACCCATTAAAAATGGTGATTTTCCATAGTTTTTTGTATGTTTACCAGAGAGTATGTCCCCGTAAAGTCCCATAAATTCTCACTATAATCCCATAACATCCTGGATCAGAGTGGTGACCGAGAAATCCGTGTCACGCCATGGGACACCGGTGTCCAAGTGGTCTGGGGCCATGTCCTGAGGACTTCCTATTTTAAGCCAGATATATAGCTATGTAAAGCCCGGTACATACATGTCCCTCTCTATACAAATAAGAAGTAACTACACATACAACTGTATACATACATATATATATATATTGCAAAGATATAAATAGATGAATTAAGAACTACATGAATTAATGAATCAGCGAAAAAAACATAGTGTGTATACAGTGTGTATTGTAGATACATATTTGCATACATATATGTCACATAGAACCACCAAAGAACCAGGGCAACATCACCGTGTCCAGGTTTTCATCACCATGAACCCGGGCTACGCGGGCCGAGCCGAATTGCCGGACAGCATTTTTTGAAAGCTCCAGGGAGGTTGGTGACTTTGGATGGGGCCCCGGGATGCCCTGGGTGTGGTGTGGTCATTTTGTCTTGCTAAACCACTCAACCACGGACCACCACTGACCTGTTCCGGGCATTCTTTGAAAGTTCGGCAGGCTTCCACAAGCAGAGAAGAGTTCAACCCCAAACATCCAAGATATTTGGGAGACAGCAGAAACAATAGCAGATTCAAATTCGAAAAAAGCCCTTCGATTGCCTTTCTCGAGCTTCCTCGGGCAATGTTCAATTTTTATCATCCCAACATGGGGGAAAAAATGTGAACAATTTTCACTCGTCCCATGGCCCCAAGGGAAAAAAACACCCCATCAATGATCTCAACTAGGTGAAAACCCTGCTAAACCATGGTTTCTGGGGGGTGTTGAATATAAGTGGGATGGGATTATTCAAAACTCGTCTCTGTTTTCCGAGTTCGAGACTCCCGATCGTGAGAAAACTGCGGTCGTTCCTCTGCGAGGACAACTTGAAATCCCTCTTCCGCCCTGTGGCGATGATGGCCGGAGTCTCAAACATAGGTTTGTTGTTGGGGACTGCGGAGTACCATCTTTTTATTTGTTTCTTTATCCCCGCCATTGACTACATCTCCAATGTTTGAGGTCAATGTTCGTTTGTTGACCTTTCTGGAACAGTGCAAGAGCATTTGACAGGGGCTCTGAATCCAGCCGACCGGAAGATTCAAAGTCCAGTGTTGGTGGCAGGAGTGTTGTACTTGAATTCCAAACTGTTTTTCCTCCACAGAACAAAGCCAGTACCAATTGTTACCGTTTGTCTAGACAACTTTGAGACATCCGGCAGTTTGCAAAGATTGCCAATGCACACCTTGAAGCACATACCTTTAGGATCCTTTAGGGGAACTATCCCCCAAAAATTGCGAACCATGATTTGCGCATGGATGTTCCCTTTTTGAAGACCCTCCAAGGCCATAGATTGCACATTTTGTACCTGCTATTGGACACCCAGCTGCCGAGGTTCCAGACTATTGCCTTATCGCAGAGATCATCCTCTACTCAGAGGCCGCCTTCTTGTTTTTTTTTTCCCGGTTGGGATGTTTGTTTCTTTTCTTTGAGACACATATACATGGCATTTCAAAACATAGTAATGTAGCATACCGTATGGCATATCATGTAGCATATCAAATGATATGCATGTTGATATGTATATATATATGATATATATATATATACACACGTGATATATATATATATACTCCATATATATGTTATATGTATATATATACACGCATATATGATGTGTATATGTAAATACACGTATACATATATATGTACACACAGATATATATACAGTATATAGATATACGAATGTACACACACATATACATACGAATGTACACACACATATATATATATATGATATACACACACACATATATATATATATGTGTATATCATATATCATATATCATTCATATATCACATATCATATATCATATATATATATATATTTAATTATATATATACTCCATATATATGTTATATGTATATATATACACGCATATATGATGTGTATATGTATATATATATATGTACACATATATATATACATACATACATACATACATACATACATACACAGTATATAGATATACGAATGTACACACACATATACATACGAATGTACCCACACACACATATATATATATAATATCATATATCATATATCACATATCATATATCACATATCACATATCATATATCATATATATATATTATCACATATACATGTATGTATGTAAACACATGCTATATTTAACTTGCACATGACTTAGCAAAGGTCCTTCAATTGCAGCGCAAATTGCGTCGGCCCATCCCCCTTTTCGAAAGGGCTTTGGTCGAGCGACAGCGCTGGCACGAAAGATGGTGAACTTGTGCCCTGTGGTGAAGGGCCTGAGTGACTGGGTATGGTATCCTTGAGAGGCCCTGGTTATTTTTGTCTGATTACCCTCTGGTTATTTAAGATAGCCATTGGAAAATGGCCCATTTATAGATGGTTCACCTATTAAAAATGGTGATTTTCCATGGCTATCTTAAATAACCAGATGGTAAGAACATTTTGTTTGGAGAAGTTGGATATTCGGATGTCTTGGATATCGTGTGATATTTTGTACAGAATATTTCTAAACTTTGCGGAAGTGATGTCGCACTATCACCTTGATTCCAAACCTCACAGGAATGGTATGATCAATGACGTTCCCTGCGCGAAAGAAACATCGGTTGTGTAGGTGTATATGATTTATATGTAAATACAGTATTTCTGCACACTGCTGATATCCAAAGTGCCTCTGGTCTTGCCTTTCGGGGTGTACTCTATCTGCAACTACTCTATTTGCAACCTTTTCAACCTTCAGATGGTTGTGGACGATGATGCCCGGCTGGTTTGCTGATCATTTGCATGCGGGATGACGCACCATCTCTAGTTCTGGCTTCAGTTTTGCACGCCGGCAAAATCCTGAAACTTTGCCGGTGAACCAACGTTTGGAAGGTACAGCCTCAGCAGCGAGCAGCTGTCCAAGCAGGACAAACAGTGGAGCTTGGGGCTGACCCCTGCAGTTTTCGCTTAAAATGATCAGCAACTGGGTGATTTCAGCAAATATGAAAAATACATGATTACTCTCTGGTAGACTAACATAGCCATGGAAAATTGCCATTTATATAGTTGATTTACTGTAGCTATTAGCTATGGGGGTTTTTCCATAGCTATGTTAGTTTGCCGGTAAGAGAGTGGGGTCCGCCGACTTTTGACTTTACAACTGGATCACAAACGGTGCAGGACCACTACGACTTTGGCATGCGCGCAGTGAAGTCCGTCCTGGTGATGGCAGGACAACTGAAGAGGAAGTACCCCACCCTGGTGGAGGACCTGAAACGCGTTGCGCAAGATGATGGCTTCTGATGGGATGGTTAGGGGATATACAAATATCATTAACATCACATAATATGTGGATTAATTAACATATCCACATAAATCCATATAATCCATATTATGATATTTGGATATGTGATGTTAATGATATCATGACATAAATCACCAAATTATGTGGATTTTCATAGCCAGGTGTTGTAGGTGTTCCCCTGACATTTTTCGGGGAATTTCCAGGACGTGACCTTGATCCGCGCGCTTCGGGACTCCAATGCTGAACCTCAGAAACGCTGAAGGATGGTGAGTCATATTTTTTCACGTAAATATATGAGTAACCTTAGATAAATTGGTTTATAATAGCTAAATAACTATAGATACTATAGGGTTTATATGGTAGTTATATGAGTAACCATAAAGTATTGACTAATTTAGTCTTACGTCGCCTTGGCCTTGCTGAGGGGTGTGCGAAACCTTGATTACCGATAGGAGACGACCCTTTTCCGATACCCCTGTTTTGCATGAGTCGCATCAAAGTCTGAGAACGCATACATCTTCACAACCGATCCGGGACGACCCGGACTTTGTGCATGGCATGAAAATGAACAAGTGATTTGTCCACAATTCATATGGGGGGTTCCATAAATGTTTTTTTCATATGGGGGATACCTAAAAACTGGTTGGTCCAGGGACACCACACTTGGTTGGTTCCTCCATAGATTCCGCGTTTGATTCCTTGATGGCCAATGCTAGGCATGAACATGATGACTGATTGATGATCGATTGACGATCATGATGACTGATGAATTCTATCATTTACTGTTACCATTCTTGTTATTGTATATTATTGTTGCTACTTATTTTTGATGGTCACCAAGGCTACTGTCACTACCATAGCACTCATTTTTGAATCCTTGCATATGACTGCTTCAACTGATACATATTATACCATTGCTCGCTGTCATAACTTATGACCCAATAATGCTAATTGTTATCATTGTTGTTGTTCTTGTTGTTGTGATTATTGTCATTAAAGCACCTATAATCTATAAGCATTTGTATATGCTAATGGTTCCTTGTACACATCTAACTTCTTATATAATACGTATTACTATGAAATAATGTAACACACACACACATATATATAATATATATATAACTATACATAGATTTAAACTATATGTATAGATGCAAGAACTACCGTAGATGGACAAACCATCTTCCAGGTGGTGCAGGATTTCTCCCCTGGAATTTCTGCTTACAACTAGATGTATAGCTATTGCCATGCTATCATTATACATCATGTAACTAGATATAACGTATATATAATATAATATATATAGCTATATATATAGTTATTATAAGAACTATTATTTTTATATAACTAAAGTATGTTATTGCATATCTATAATACAAACAGTAGAAATACCATCCTTTGAGGTACCCAAGTTCCTGTCCTTCGACCTGCCGCTCTTCTTCGGCATCATCAGCTGCCCAGCGATGTTGTGGGATCCGTGTTGCTGCCGTGCGTCCAGAAGGGATGGATGGTTGAGAAGAGTGCATCATATTCTATCTATCTATCTATCTACCTATCTGTCTAGCTAGCTAGCTACATACATTACATGACATGACATGACATTACATGACATGACATAACATAACATACATACATACATACCTACATACATACATACATACAGACAGACAGACAGACAGACAGACATACAGACATACAGACATACAGGACATACATGACATACATGACATACATGACATACATGACATACATGACATACATGACATACATGACATACATGACATACATGACATACATGACATACATGACATACATGACATACATGACATACATGACACATACATGACATACATGACATACATGACATACATGACATACATGACATACATGACATACATGACATACATGACATACATGACATACATGACATACATGACATACATGACATACATGACATACACGACATACACGACATACACGACATACACGACATACACGACATACACGACATACACGACATACACGACATACACGACATACACGACATACACGACATACACGACATACACGACATACACGACATACACGACATACATACATGACATACATGACATACATGACATACATGACATACATGACATACATGACATACATGACATGACATGACATACATACATGACATACATGACATACATGACATACATACATGACATACATGACATACATGACATACATGACATACATGACATACATGACTACATACATGACATACATACATGACATACATGACATACATGACATACATGACATTACATGACATACATGACATACATGACATACATGACATACATGACATACATGACATACATGACATACATGACATACATGACATACATGACATACATGACGACATACATGACATACACATACATGACATACATGACATACATGACATACATGACATGACATACATGACATACATGACATACATACATACATACATACATACATAGATACATACATACATACATACATACATACATACATACATACATACATACACACACACAGACATACATACATACATACATACATACATACATACATACATACATACATACATACATACATACATACATACATACATACATACATACATACATACATACATACATACATACATACATACATACATACATACATACATACTGACATACATGACATACATGACATACATGACATACATGACATACATGACATACATGACATACATGACATACATGACATACATGACATACATGACATACATGACATACATGACATACATGACATACATGACATACATGACATACATGACATACATACATACATGACATACATACATACATATTATACATTACATATTATACATTACATATATACACTATATACATTACATACATTACATAAATTACATACACTACAAACGTCACATACATTACATACATGACATTACGGTACAGTACAGTACACACACACACTATGTACACATACTATATACTATGAAATATATGATGATATAATGCCGCTACCCACAGAAATTGTTCACAGCACAGTGTGCCGAGGCGACCTTTATCCAGATGCCGATGTGCCATATGCCTGGAATCTCAGAATTTTTCTTATCCGATGATGCATGGAGTGATGGTTTTTGCTGTTTTCAGAAAGGGACAAAAAATGATTGGAGAGGTTTTCTAGGTCATGTGGGGTAGCCGCTAAGCCCCAGTTCTCATCCAAAAGTTGGTCATGTTAGTATTGAAACAACCATGGTCTTGGGGATCCTCATAACTTGAGAAGCCCTTAAAAAAAGGATTCAACCACTTGCCATGTTTCATTTTTCATGGTTTCAGATACTGAAAAATGGGCCACGGATGGCACGCGGGGCCGAGGTGGACTATGGCAGTTTGCAGAAAGAGATCGAAAATCAGCTGCGAATTGCCAAACTGCAGGCGAGGTGTCCAGGGTGTCCCAGGGGAGTGGTGAAGGGGCGGGGGAGAGGCTTGCGTTGGGATGGGTATAGATCCAGCTATATGATCTTGGATGTGCATGTTTCTTCTTAAAGTCTTAGGATAATAGATCTAGTTTCCGAACAACATCTATCTTGTCCTGTGATGCTTTTAGACTTGGGCACATATACAGTTATCTTCTGGTTGATCTTTGTAGTAGGGATCATCGTTTACGGAAAACATGCAGCAGCTCGTGATAACGTGATAACGTGCTTAAAAGGGAACCTTTCGAAGAGCCACATTTTTTTAAAGGTGATACATGTGTCATGTTGATTCTGTCTCTCTTATTCCTTCTTGATTTGTTCAACTATAGTAATCTACTCGTATTTGATATATGATACATCTATAGTACACCTCTACACCTATTTTCTGTACTAACTCTTGTGTTCATCACCAGAATTTCCACAGTATATCATCATATTCATCTACTATGGCGTACTTTTTTTTTAAATGTTTCCATGACATATTTCTATATCGAAACACCATTGGACCATAGCTATCCCTCATATCTTGAGCTATAGGTGGTGCCCACCTTTGTGGGCAAAATCATCCAACTTCTGGAGACGCAGCTGGTGCGTCATGGCGTCATGGTGCGACCGACGGGGCGATGGCGACCGTTGAGCTTTGGTAAATAACTTCTTTTAAATTGAGGGATGAAGATGATGTACTGTTTTTTTTTTTGGGGGCCTCAACTTTTTTTGGGGGGGAGCGATTTTTTTTTTGGGGTTGCCTCTTTTTGGGGGGGAGGGATGCACTTATCTTTGATTGTGAGTTCTTTTTTTCTTGTTGGATGACAGAAAATCCATCTTTGTTTTGCTTTTGTTTGCACAGGAAGAAGCAATGGATGCCTGCACTTTGTTGGGAAAGCGTTCGCAAATTGTTGGTGGTTTAGAAAGGGCAATAGCTCAAAACTAGACGACCCCAGATTTGAATGGTTTAGTATCTGAAATGAGCCAATCCGTCGTTTCTTGTAGATCCATACCCATATCAACTTGAGAATAACAATTTCGTAGAATAAAATTCTTATATACGCATTATTTTGACATTAGAACAGACGGTGCTAGTCCAACTCTTACATCAGAGTGAAGTTCGCTGGCCCATCCTGTCCTCCATCCAAAAATCCCTTCACTTGGAGTTAGGTTTCCAAAGAAACGCCCAAAAAATCCAAGAAATTCGGATGGCCAAAAAAATTGGGTGAAGTTCAGGGAATATCGAAAAATCCATTGTTCGATCCATTTTTTGATCCCATGCTTTCCAACAGAGACCTCCTCGTTTCCGGCCAGGTGGTGGGCAATGCCTTTATCGGCAAATCCACCAAGATCCAGGTCTTGGCCAAAGCCTTGTCCAAGCTCCGCCAGGAGGGGTAGGTACAAGTGATGTGAAAATCGCTGGGATGGTTGTTGTGTCCCGAAAAAAAGATAGGATGTTTTGGGAGCCCCCCAATGACTTAGGAAAGCTATGGAAACCTCCATCAACAGTTTCGGAAGATCCTCTTTAGGTTTTTTGGGCCATTTCGTTGATCTTGTTGAAGTTGTTAGGTGATTCCGAATGCCTAGATCTAGAGCAATCAGACATTGTTTGACCAATTGTTACCCAGCGGTTTGAACTTGTTCCCATCATCCAACTAGACAAACTCTGACCCAATTAGCTTTGAACTTGTTACCCAAGTGTCCCATGGTCGGTGTCCGCATCGTGCCCATCGTGCGCTTTCCGATGGCTCTTTGGCACCACTGGGACGACCGTGAAGCGATTCCAGCTTCCAGGGCTTAGATATACGTTATCTGCCCTGTTGGTTGATGATTAGTTCTGGCATTATACTACTCAATATATTGAGGATGATATTAATTCAATCAGGAATTCCCGTTCGTAACCAAGCAGTATGATAGAATTAATAGAATGACAGAGGGATTTTGAACAATGCTCACCTTAGTTTGGTGTTCTGTGAAGACAAAGAGCTGGCACTTTGGAACAGAGCCATGGTACTAAGCGACGCTGTGAAGGGGCCATGGAACCCGCTGAGGTCGGGATTCCTTTTTCGAGCTGTTTCCATAACCCAGTGCTTTTTTTGACATTGACTTGAGGTATGTGTCAAACCCTCCTGGATTCAATAAACCTGACAGCATACTGAAGATGATAAGACAGTCTTATATGATTTTCCCATATATTTTCCATGATTTACCCAAAAAACACTCTATGCTTGCCATGCTTGCCCCTTTCTGAATGACCCCTTTCAGTGGCCGCGACGCCAGGCTTCTGGCTGGTTGAAACGAAGGCGCTGTGGCTGGATGAACATCAATCAACCAGCTAGTTTGATGTAAACCAGCAAGGGCTAGTTTGATGGTAACTTGACCCATCCCCATATTTAGTGATATATAAATGAATATATAGTATGTTTTTAGTATTTCTTAATACATACAGAGGTTTTTTTTTCTTCGTTTCTTGTTGTGCCTCCCAAAACGCGACACCGGGACACCCGAAACGTCCGGGAAAAATTCGACGAAGCTGTTGGCCAGGTCCGAGACAACGGAGCCTGAGGCAAGGGATGGGGGACGGCACGATGATCACGATGGCACCCAACAAAAATCTGGGGACACAGATTTTTTGTTGTTTTTTGCTGGAAAAGATATGAAAAGATAGCTATAGTTAGAAATGCTGAAGATTTCTGAAGCAGTGAAGCAACTTCGTTCTAGCAGTTGCAATGGCCCCACTTGTTTGCAAATAAACCCATGTCGAGGATGGAATTCCTGATTCCAGTAAGCATCATCAAAATCTATCAAGTTGTGTGTTAACCCTCTAGCTTGTTATGAAAAAACAATTCCGCATATGAACACGAAGCATTTGGAGGAGATGGAATTCCAAGGGAAAATCAGGCCCAACATCAGGAAACAGACAGAACTTGACAGAACCGCGTGTAAGTCCATCTACCCTATGGTTCCCTTCTTTTGCAGGACGCGTCAGGCTTTCATCATGATCAGATGGACGCATTTCAGAAACCACGTTATTTCATGTTATTTCTGCATGAAACATGGTGCTTCTTGTAAGACGTTCCTCATAAACAGATCCTTAAATGACCTTAACAGGAAATCCACCCTTCAGACAAGTCCAGGCAGAGCCGAAAGCAAAGGGGCGGCTTGGCGATCGATGAAAACAGTGGGAGCACAAAGGATTCCAACACATTTGCAAGGGTTCCAGCCAAAGTTGCGGCATAGCGTGATGTGAGCATTGTTTTGTATTGGTTGGTTGCTTTTACCAGGTTCTATCCTCCAGTTTGCTAGTTATTGTATTCAAATTACTGTACCATCTTTTTATTGGTTACGATACACCGAACTAAATACCATCTAAATCAACATCCAGGTCACATGTTCATCAACATCCAAGTACTTACTCTATTTGAATAATCCAGAATTCATCAACATTTTACATTGATAGGATAAACCAATATTTACTAACCAAGCACATCTTAAATTTGTTTATAAGTCAGTAGCCACGTTAGATAGTTTAGATAGTTGTGGTTCATGACCTTTATTATAAATGATATTTAAATCTTCTTAAGTACCCTCTGGTAAACTGTCACATAACTATGGAAAATCACCATTTTAATGGGAAAACTCACTATTTCTATGGCCATTTTCACTAGCTTTTTGTATGTTTACCAGGCTGGGTACCATCTAAATACCATCTGAAATCATCCAGGCGAAGCTTTCGAAAGGAGATCACCTCAGAGGAATTGCGCCTCGGAGAAAAGGGCTCGCCGACCGGGGCGAGGGACTGGGGGGACCGGGGGAAGCATGTCAATTTCACTGGAAATCAGCGGATTTTCGCTGTTTCATCATGGTTTATGTGAGTTTTTATAGTTTTTTTTAAATGGTGATTCTATATAAATCTACTGGAAATGATGTGAAATCACCTATGGACCCTGCAGGACATGGATTTGAAGGAAGCATTTCTCACTGAAGGGTTTGCGGGTAACCCTGCAGGAGCAGCCATATTTTCATGCTAAGGTCATCCAAAGCTGGGTGGATTTTCACAGCTTTATTTGGTTGTCCAGACATGGAGTATATTGAAACATGGCATTTCTCATTGGGGAAACCGATGACACATCAACTAGTGTCTTTTTGGCACCCTGTTTTTGGGGCTTGTCCATATTATATACCCTCTGGTAAACTAACATAGCTATTGAAAATGGTCATTTATAGTGGATTTTCCCATTAAAAATGGTGATTTTCAATAGCTATGTTAGTTTACCAGAGGGTAGCTATCTCAAGTTGTCATTGATGGAGATCAGACTGATTATATGCCGTTTCCACCGACGATTTTCTGGATTTCTGGAGCACATCGATCGCCCAACACGTGACTTGGAAAGTCCCGAATGCAGGCTGACTTTTGGAAAGCACAAAGGCAAGACCTTCAAAGAAGCTTTGCAAAAGATCCTTGACTAAGCAGAAGAACCATGAAGAACCCTGTCCATGCAGCCGAGCACCATGCAATTTTTCTCGCAGATCCACTGTAGCTGCTCTAGCCATCTGTTGCGTAATATTGTTTTTTTAACCCACACTCATTTACAATGCCAAAAAGATAGAAAACGCTTCGATTTGGTAAATGATGGCATTTATTAAACAGTGATACTTGTACTTGAGAAAACGCTTAGATTTACGCCTTTAGCAGGAGACTTAGTTAATCTCGGGGTTTGCTGTCAGCCGATCAAAGTTTGGGCTGAGGGATCCCTGGTATGCCATTTGGTGCTCAGATCTGCTCCTTGGCATCGGTGGCGATTTGACCCTATGAATTTAGCCTGATTCATTCACTTTCATAGTATAATGATATATGCCATACCTGGCCATAACCTTCATTTTTTGAATTGTTAAAAGGTGCTCAATGCCCGCCAGTGCTGGTGGCTATGGGGCATTAGATTCATCTAATTCATCTAATTCAACAGCCCCCGGTTCAAAAAATCGGCTTGGGACGGCCGCCCGTCCCAGGCCAGAGCAAAGCTTGCCGATGCGCCGCTTCTTGAAGTATGCTGAGGATCGTGGGATCTATGGGATCCATGGGGCTGAAGAATCACTGGGGGTATCATGGTATAGCCTATGAATCCCCTTAGATCAGAGGAGTCCATGGATGTTTTATGAAATTCTATGAAGTGATATGGATAGCCAAATATCAGCCCTTAGCCGGCTATAGAAGCCCTAATGAACATTTGAGGTTGTAGAAACCCCAAAAGAAATCCAAAGAACTGGTCTCGCTATAGATTATGGTTAGTAGGGGGTAACTATTAGGTTCCCAAAGGGCCGAACTTTTCAGGTTGGTGAATTATGATGTAATTTATCCAGACGTTTCCAAAATATCCGGATGTGTGAAAACCTACCATTTTCTGGGGCGGTGAACATCCAATTACCAGTTATTTATATTGGTGTAGTGTGAAGATTGGGGTTCTACTAACCTTTTGAAAAGGGATCGAGCTACCAATCCACTATAGGAATTGACGCTGAACACACAGTGAACCAGTTCGCGACCAGGTTTTTGACGCTGCTCACATGGCTTTGGGTCAAAAGCCTGATGCCCTTTTGCTCACCCCAAAATACATATATATACACACACACATTTTTTTTGCATATATATATATATGTATATCCATATATATATATATGTATCTCCATATATATATATATATGTAATTATGTATATATATACACATATGTATACATATACATACAAGTAAACTACATATACATACATGTAGATAGATAGACATGTATATATATATTTATGTGCAACCATTGATATAGCCAACTTCATCCCCAGGACCAAGGTGTGGTTCAGCCTTCCAAACGCCCAAAACTGGAGCCGAAGCCGACCGAGGCAGAGATCCTGGGGAGTTTTATTCCGTGGCTGTGGCCAACAGATATGGGAAGTTCACCAAGAAAGCATAGAACACACGCACACACACATTTATATACTGTATATATATATAATGTGGGTAAAATAATAATATACCACCCATTTGGGAATGGTTTATACCACCTATAAAAATGGTGATTTGTGGATTCATCGGCAAAGACAGGGACTATGCAGGTTACCTGAAACAATTGGAAACTTAAGGGTAAATCCCATTCCATCGGCAAATCATCATTTTCTTCATAGTTCCCAGGTTCCACTACCGGTGTATGCTGTAGCGTTTTCAGACGCACCCCTGGTCCGCAACGTCAAGGCCCCGTTGGACGTTGCAGATGCCGCCATCTTCGACAGCCGCTCGGGTTCGGTGAGTTGGGATGGTCATCGATCCCATGGGGACGATGATCCCCCCATGACCCATATTTTTTTTGGGCAAAAACCACAGCAGATCTAGTGGAGAAATCTGCAAAAGTGGATAAAAGTGGATAAAAGTGGATAAAAGTGGACGAAGAAGTGGGTCATTTGATGTCATTTGTGTCCGTGAGGCTTTGCCTTTGCGCCTGCTGTGTCTTGGAGCAGGGTTTGGATCATGTCACGAAAGGTAGCTCCAGAGGGGCTACCTTGAGTTTTACTTTACGAAGTAAAGGGGAGGGCGGCCAGCCCCGTTACCTGATTCTTCAGGAGATTGCTAGTCATTACAGTATTTTTGTTCTTTTCGGATCAAGAAACCACATTTTGCTACATGGTGAAACCTCCGTAAATACCAGTGTTTTTGCTAGGCGCTGGCCAAAAAACACTGTAAATACCGTGCTTTTTACTACCAGAGGCAAAAAACATCGTAAATACCGTGGTTTTGGGCTTCCGACCCGCCAAAAACATTGGTATTTACGGTGTTTTTTGCTCCGAGCGATGCAAAAACACGCGAAAACACCACCGATTTGACGATTTTCGGCCACCACGGAACCGAGCAAAAACGCTGCAGGGGTAACACCAACACCGACAAGAACAACACCAACAGCAACAGCAACAACAACAACGACGACGACAACAACAACAACAACAACAACAACGCACAACGCACAACGCACAATGCACAATGCACAATGCACAATGCACAACGCACAAAGCACAACGCACAACGCACAACGCACAACGCACATCACACAACACACAAAACACGCAAAACACACACAACACACACAACACACACAACACACACAACAACCACAACAACCACAACAACCACAACACCCACAACAACCACAACAACTACAACAACAACGAATGACAACAATAACGACAACAACACACAACAACACACAACAAAACACAACAACACACAACAACAAACAACAACACACAACAACACACAACAACACACAACAACACACAACAACACACAATAACACACAACACACAATAACACACAACACACAACAACACACAACAACACACAACAACACACACAACAACACACAACAACACACAACAACACACAACAACACACAACAACACACAACAACACACAACAACACACAACAACACACAACAACAACAACAACACACAACAACACACAACAACACACAACAACACACAACAACACACAACAACACAAACAACACACAACAACACACCACAACACACACACACACACACACACAACAACACACAACAACACACAACAACACACAACAACACACAACAACACACCACAACACACAACAACACACCACAACACACCACAACACACCACAACACACAATAACACACAACAACACACAACAACACACAAACACACAACAACAACAACAACAATAACAACAACATCAACAACAACAACAACAACAACACCATCAGCAGCAGCAGCAACAACAACAACAACAGCAACAACAACAACAACAACACGAACACAAACAATACCAACACCAACAACACGACCAACAACACCAACACCACCAACAAACCCAACCACACCAACAACACAAACAACACTAACAACACCAGAAACACTACCACCACCAACAACACCAACAACACCAATACCAACAACACCAACAACACCAACACCACCAGCACCACCAACACCACCAACACCACAACCGCCACCAACCCCAACCACATCGCCGAAGCCTTTCAGTCGCTTTTACCAGACTCCCCTTCATATTTTTGGAAAGAAACTGGCCGCGTCGCTTTTACCAGACTCCACTTTATGTTTTTTTCCCTGCCCTCTCCCCTTCATTTTTTCTTCGGTTCCTTTCTTGCTTACCTACCTTTCGTGTTCCCCCTCTCAAGTTGGATCTGCACTTCCCATTGACCCAACAGGCGTCCCAAAAAGGGCATCTGATTTTGGGTTGGTAACAGTTCAGCGGCCCTTGTGTTTGTCGGACTCTGGTAGTTGTACTGCATTAGATCCTTCAATTTTTATTTGTTTATGCAGGCTGTTTTGCCAGAAAATAAGAAACATGTTATTGTGTCTAATAGGAATCAATGCAACTTTACCACTACCCTTGCTCTTACTATTATTATTATTATTACTATTATTATTATTATTACAATTACTATTATCATTACTACTATTACAAAAAACATGTGATTATCACGATTTATCATGCATAGTAATCATGTTATTGTATAGTATATCATTTTACGATTACCATATTGTGACTACCATGGGTCGCTGTCGCCCCAAGAAATCTGGGCGTCACAAGGTAAACCAGCCTGGGAAGCATTCCGCGTTTTCGCCGTGGCTCGTTGGGCGAAGTTGAACTTGTGGGACCAAGAAAATGGGAGATGACCATGGTTTTCTTGTGGGGTTTTGAGGGTGATTTAGCCAAGAAAAAATAGGAGTTCATGATAAATCGAGCTCCCCTTGAATTGTTGAATCACCAAACTGGGTGTGTCTGAAAATAGGGTAGACCCCCAAGATTAGAATTCTACTTGGGAACCTAACCACTATCCAATGGAGTAGGGGATACCATTTTTTAAAGACCAATCTAGTACTAATACCAGCAAAATGGTTCATATCTTGGGGCCCTTTCAGGATGTTGACACCCCGAGGCTGCTGGTTACACAAAAGAAAGTCATGGCTCAACCCCCAACAAATATCGCAGTTGATCGCCATCAAAAAAGGCTTTTGATGAAGGTATTCTGGAAGGTTCAAAGGTTGCATCTCTTCAAGTTCGGGGAGCCACTGTTGCGCCAGCAAACATCGAGGTTTTAGCTGAGCTCATAGCACTAACAGAAATTAGGTTTTGAGGACCACTCATGAGCAGAAGCGATTTTCGTTTGCAACTGAGAAGCTGAGGCATCAGCAACTGCCGACTTCGAATGCAGTCTCATCTCCAGGAAATATCTACCAGCAGCAAGCAACGCCCCAGAACTCACTTCCGAACCAACTCCAGCAACATGCCATGCCTCAGATGCCTCAACAACACCCACAAACGAACCAATACCAGCACCCGTCAGGACCACAGCAGAATCAGCAGGCTGTGCCGCAGATGCTGCAGCAAAACCAATCACCCAGCCAATACCAGTACCAAGCAGCACGGCAGTCAGGACAGCATGTCCGACCTCCTAACCAGCAACAGATACAACAGCCAAGCCCACAGCAAAGCCAACGGCCCAACCAATTCCAGCAGGCACCAGCACCACAGATGTTTCCACGAAATCAATCACCCAACCAATATCAGCATGTGCCAGCAGCACAATTTCCACCGCAGAATCCGCCCTTGAACCAGCAGCAGGCTGCGCCTCAAATGTTGGAGCAAAACCAGTCACCCAGCCAATACCAGTACCAAGCAGCACGGCAGTCAGGGCAGAATGTACCCCCGAACCAGCAAAGCCCACAGCAAAACCAACGGCCCAACCAATTCCAGCATGCGCCAGCACAATTTCCACCGCAGAATCCGCCCTTGAACCAGCAGCAGACTACCCCGCAGATGCTGCAGCAAAACCAGTCACCCAGCCAATACCAGTACCAAGCAGCACGGCAGTCAGGGCAGCATGTACCACCTACGAACCAGCCAGTGCGACCGCAGATGGGTCATGTAGCCCCTCCTCTGAGCTCACCAACGACGGGAGGACTACGTGTGACTCCACAGGTGGCTTGCAAGGATCAGGTGGCCGGCGGGGATCAAGATGTTAAGCTTGGGACAATAACTGGTTGCTGGTTTCAATTACCATTTTTCATCATTTTCTTTCTCCATCCTTGACAATTGGATGATACCAATTATATCCATTTATACCAATCAGACAACTTCATATTCAAGGATTCAAACTGCTTGAAACCAGCAGGATGTTTGTGCCCTTTTGGAACGTGGCAATGGAAAACCAATCATTTCCAGATGATTTTCCAGTTCAAAATGGGGCTTTCCCTTTGCCATGTTTGAGTAACAGAAGGCAGATTCGCACACACACAATGGTTTATCATTATCCCTCATCTCAAGGTGCCCACGATACCCGCGCATCTTTTCATGTCTTCACTTCATATGAACTTGGTGGCATTCAGCAACCAACTGGTTTGGAAAGGCCCCGTTTGCGCCACCCAGGAGCCAAATGCATCCGAACAGGCTCGAGCCAGTCGGCACTTTTCGCCAGGTGTCTGGACCATCATCCCCTGAGAATCGGATGGGTCAGCAACAACAAGGTGACCTAAGGGATATCTCAGGGGAATATATACTGCTTACAATCCAATCTGTTCATATATTTTCTGTAACAGCTGGTACGAACTCTACATCTATCTACTGATTTTTATGTGTTTGTTTGGTGTTTATTTGCCTATGTGGGATACCCCTTAAAATGGCAAGGATGGGAAACATGATTATGGGATCTGGGGGGACACTGCCAAACCATCCATCAACAACAAGATTGGACGGGACAAATGCCACATGATCCTCACCGTAATTCTTGGTCTTATGACTTCACCAACTTCTGATCTCTTCCTTGGCCTCTGGTATATTTGATCTCATATTCCCAGGAAATATCCCCATACCCTCTGGTAAACTAACATAACTATGGAAAATCACCATGTTCAATGGGAAAATCCACTATAAATGGTCATTTTCAATAGCTACGTTAAATTACCAGAGGGTATTTGGTGGGTTGTACCCCCATACAATCCATGGTACACCCCACATGGCACAGCCTGCAGAGCCACACTGCAAGGTGCTACACCACAGGGCCTGAAGAATGCTGCGTTGCTGGAGTATGATGGAACTTTTGAGGCGGGGATAGCGGGCGGCTTTTCCGGGAGTGGAAGGATGAACCATGGCAAAATAACATGGTGAAACATGGTGAAACACCCAGGTTTCCGGAAAGAAAGGGTTGGGGATGGGGGAAATTCATTCCAACTTGGGTGCCCAAAGCCATGTTGCTGTTTTCAGAGTCATCGCGTGCTGTCGCACTGGTAGGTTGAGCTGGGGCGTGATAAGGATGGTGGAAACTTGGCAATAGAATCCGCAGTGGAAAGCCAAAGATATTGGAGAGAACACTTGGTTTAACTTGAGGTATGTGGTTGGTTAAATTTTGGAGCTGTCAAGGGTTTTTTCGGAGTTATTTCGAGGGCAACCTGCTCTACTAGGCAACAATGTCTTGACTGGAACACATTAATAATCATCTGCAGCTAACACTGATAAGAGGTGCGGGGCGCATTTCGCCACAAGAACTGACCATAACTGACATACTCCACTCTGCACCAAGGAGTTTTTACCCTGTTGAGCTCCAAAAAAGTCGGGAAGAAAGTCTTTGCCGAACTGAAACGATGGCCTGGCGCCAAGGTGCACAGTATTTAAAACAGCTCAGGCCGTCTAGGTTTCACCGTTTCACCAGCTCCAACAAGTCGTAGTTCTATGGGGGTTACCGTATGCTTCAATCATGTTCAATCCCCAAATATCCCAAAGAACCTCAAAATGGCTGGGTCAACATCCTATTCATTTTTTTTGGTCCCGAAATATTTTGAGATATGTGGACAGGATGTTCACAGTCACAGGACTTAGCCTCACAACCATCACAACCAAATGACAAAGCCTCTGTTGCCCGAATTGACCACTTTTGGAGGTTGGCCCCAAATTGGATTTCGAGAGCCGCGTGTCCCTTGGCCGCAATGTCCCAAACAGTATGATGCCAGATTCATTGCAAAGAACATGTAGAAATACTGGGATAAACCTATTGGAATTCTTGACATGGGAAATTCATAGACATTCCTGTTCCCCCCAAACCCATTGGATTCATTCCTCAGAACTCCATGATTTAGTCTCGTTTACTGGACTGGTGCACCCAGTGTTCAGAACCAACGCACTTGCGCGGACAAGTTCGAACTTGCACCCCTTGCAGCGGAAGCTGACCTTGCCACTGCACCGTTGAGGTACTTGGAGGTAGTCGAACGTCTGCGAGATCTCTACGGTTCCCGATCTGTCAAGACTCCTCCAGAATGGGTCCTCACGATGTTGCCAGACTTCCGCCGCTGGGCACATCTGGAACTGAATTTGGAGAGTCTGCTGTTGAAAAATCCATGGCCCAGTGTGTTTTCATAGACCATCATTGAATTCTGTAGCCAGCCCCCAAAATCCACCATGCCATGGCTTCAACGCCCTAAGGTAAGTATGGGGCCCTGCAAGTGCCCAAGAAGGCACGTGTGCACAAAGGTCGAAGCAAATCAAGCTAAAATCGTCCCGTGCTTGATCTAAAACCCAGGGAATGAATGTCTTTTCTTACCATGTTTTTTTCTCGACAAAATCATTAAGACGGACTCCATCATTTTCTAGAGTTCTCACCATGTTTTTTTCCCACACAAATATTCCTCCGCCCAAAAAAACGCAGCTTTTTCACAGTGCCAGGTGGCCCACGTGCTGCTGGCGGATTTCAAAGCGCCATTGCTGCCGGCTGACGCCTGCAGTCGCGAGGGGAACAAGGTCTTGCCCTATCAACGCGAAGCAGCGCCGTGGCAGCTGATGGCCGTATGAGCCTGCGGACTGGGAATGATGGGAAATGGCGATGTTCCAAAAACACGGAGGTTCTTTGGCCATGTCTTGTTTTTGCTTTTTGAAAAGGAACTATTTCACGAAAGGTAGCTCCAGAGGGGCTACCTTGAGTTTTACTTTACGAAGTAAAGGGGAGGGCGGCCAGCCCCGTTACCTGATTCTTCAGGAGATTGCTAGTCATTTTAGTTCCCCCCCCCCTCCACACCTCCCACGCACCCTAAGAGCAGACTCAAAACATTGTAATTTACAGTATTTTTGTTCTTTTCGGATCAAGAAACCACATTTTGCTACATGGTGAAGCCTCCGTAAATACCAGTGTTTTTGCTAGGTGCTGGCCAAAAAACACTGTAAATACCGTGCTTTTTACTACCAGAGGCAAAAAACTAGACGACGGATGGCCCGAGAGCGTAGAGGAGCAGGGTCTTCTCTTGTTAGTATGGAGACGCAATATTAGAAACGATATATGAAAGCTGTGTTATAGGCAGTCGAGAAGAGGAGTATCAAGACAAAATAGTGAGAAGTGCAAGTGAATAGTTTGCATCGCAAACACTTTTACACACAGACGCTTTTACACAGACGCTTTGACACACAGACGCTTTTACACACAGACCCTTTTACACACAGACGCTTTGACACACAGACACTTTTACACACAGACGCTTTTGACACACAGACGCTTTTGACACACAGACCCTTTTTACACACAGACCCTTTTTACACACAGACCCTTTTACACACAGACGCCTTTACACACAGACACTTTTACACACAGACGCTTTTGACACACAGACGCTTTTTACACACAGACGCTTTGACACACAAACACATTTACACACAGACGCTTTTGACACACAGACGCTTTTTACACACAGACGCTTTGACACACAAACACATTTACACACAGACGCTTTTACACACAGACGCTTTTTACACACAAACGCTTTTTACACACAGACGCTTTGACACACAAACACATTTACACACAGAGGCTTTTACACACAAACGCTTTTACACAAAGACTTTTACACACAAACACTTTTACACACAGACGCTTTGACACACAGACACTTTGACACACAGACGCTTTGACACACAGACGCTTTTACACACAGAGACTTTTACACACAGAGACGCTTTTACACACAGAAGCTTTTACAAACAGACGCTTTTACACACAGACGCTTTTACACACAGACGAAAGGGTTGCTCCGGCACAGGTAAAATCGCAATTTTACCTCAGTTTCTACCGATCGACCCTCATTTCGTGCGAAAGGGTTGCTTGGGGACAAGTAAAATCGCACTTTTACCTCAGTTTTTGCCGATCGACCCTCATTTCGCGCGAAAGGGTTGCTCCAGGACAAGTAAAATCGCAATTTTACCTCAGTTTTGCCGATCGACCCTCATTTCGTGCGAAAGGGTTGCTTTAGCACAAGTAAAATCGCAGTTTTACATCAGTTTTTGCCGATCGACCCTCATTTCGTGCGAAAGGGTTGCTCCGGCACAAGTAAAATCGCACTTTTACCTCAGTTTTTGCCGATCGACCCTCATTTCGTGCGAAAGGGTTGCTCCGGGACAAGTCAAATCGCAGTTTTACCTCAGTTTTTGCCGATCGACCCTCATTTCGTGCGAAAGGGTTGCGTAGCACAAGTAAAATCGCACTTTTACCTCAGTTTTTGCCGATCGACCCTCATTTCGTGCGAAAGGGTTGCTCCAGGACAAGTCAAATCGCAATTTTACCTCAGTTTTTGCCGATCGACCCTCATTTCGTGCGAAAGGGTTGACGTTTCGTGACTCGCCGCCGGCACCACCCTCGGCCTTAAGAGAGAAAGATAAAAAAAGAAGGGCAAGAGGGCAAGAGGGCAAGAGGACAAGAGGAGAAGATGTGAGATGAAAAGATGTGAGAAGATGTGAAGATGAGAAGGTGTGAAGATGAGAAGATGTGAAGATGTGAGAAGATGTGAGAAGATGTGAGAAGATGTGAGAAGATGTGAGAAGATGTGAGAAGATGTGAGTGGAGGTGTGAGAAGATGTGAGTGGAGGTGTGAGAAGATGTGAGTGGAGGTGTGAGAAGATGTGAGAAGATGTGAGAAGATGTGAGAAGATGTGAGAAGATGTGAGAAGATGTGAGAAGATGTGAGAAGATGTGAGAAGATGTGAGAAGATGTGAGAAGATGTGAGAAGATGTGAAGATGAGAAGATGTGAAGATGAGAAGATGTGAAGATGAGAAATGTGAAGATGAGAAGATGAGGAGATGAGAAGATGTGAAGATGAGAAGATGTGAAGATGAGAAGATGAGGGATGAGGAGAAGATGTGAGGATAAGAAGATGTGAAGATGAGAAGATGTGAAGATGAGAAGATGTGAAGATGAGAAGGTGT